AGATAGATAGATAGATAGATAGATAGATAGATAGATAGATAGATTCACATCTGTTGATATGAACTGTTCAATTTACTTTTGCATGATGTTTCAAACTTTCAGGCAATAAACCTATCAAAATCATTCACATGTTATGATTTCATGTTTGGCAACAGTAGATAAAGCATTTATAGTTGAATCTTTTCATATTAAATCCAACTATGATCTATTAAATAAGATCTCAAGAGCTGGGTTTGTAGTGTGTAATACTGGCATGCACAGAGGCTCAGTCAGCATGCAGTGCTGTGTATGTGGGCGAGTGTGAACGGGAACAGAGAGAAGGCAGGCAGGCTGCGGGTGTCTGTACAGAAGTAAGAGGAGGGCAGATGCAGAGCTATTCACAGAGGCTCCACTTTCGCTAGGGCTCCATGGAGAAGGGGCTGTTCCATAGTGTGGGTGGCTATGAATTAGGCCTCAGTCACACATCCAGCAAACGCTCTGTTGCTCACGCTGCCATGGATGAAAATAGAACAAAAAGTGACGAGAGAGATGATGAAGAGCCGACGGCCTTACATGTGTCAGTCATGTTGAGCGAGATAAGACCTTACAACAGAGGGCTATATCATAAACATGCTAAATCTATCATACGCATAAGTGTTTCAAACCAAATGGAAACTAATAGTGCCTGCAATTAGTTGACATATTTTGTTATATCCACTGACAGCTTCTAGATGTCTGAAAGCTTCAAAATGCTGTGAAAGTCTAAAAATATGGGTCTAGTTCAGGAGTGTCAAACTCAGTTCCTGGAGGGCCGGAGCCCTGTAGAGTTTGGTTCCAACCCTGCTGCAACACACATACCATGTCGTTTTCAAATAAGCTTGGACTTGATTAGTTGGATCAGGTGTGTTTAATTAGGGCTGAATCTAATCTCTGCAGGGCTCCGGCCCTCCAGGAATTGAGTTTGACACCCCTGCTCTAGTTAAATATTAAAACTGTTTGCAATCCTACAGGAAGGTACACTCTGTAATTTTCTGTATTTATATATTTTATTTTATTTTTCAGTTGTTTTACCGGTATTTCGAGTTTGACACTTTATTGCATTGTGTTTTAGAGTGAACAGAAATGTCCGTAGAGACTGTCCCAGCAACGAGCTGTCTGCAGGTTACCTTCTCTGTTATTTTACCAATTAATTTTTTTTACAGTAAAGACAATATAGCTTAGCTAAAGTCTTTTTTTAGTAATCAAGATGTTTAATCGCAATGTTACCGAGGGGGGAAAACCGTTCTGTAGCCTATATTAATCAATCAGTTTCCTTAACTCTCTAGAAACTAGAATAACTTTCCAACATATTCAGATATCACTTTCCTGAATGTAGTTTTATTACGGTTCCTCTGTGGGAGGTCATTTTCCGTGTCGAGTTTCCCGGATGCGTCCCATATAAGTCAAAACAGGGCGTGTTTGAGATAACCGGATAATGTCCATTTATGGGATGCGCCCGAACCGGAATTCCTGATACACCAAAATCAATCAAAACGTTTCACAGACCACAAATCTATTTCGACATAATATCAATATATGCACAACAAAGCAATCGCAACACATTAAAGTTATAGCAGAATCAGAGCTCTGTCTAAACATGGCCAAGAGCAAAAAACAAAAAAAGCCCAACCTGTTTTCTTTTTTGTCCTGTTCTGTCCTTGTATGGTCAGTGACGTCATGGGGCATTGACAGGCTCTTCTTAAATATGCACACTAGACATAAAGTTTCACTTATCGCTGCGGCACATATGCAGGAGCTGGTGGGCTGATGCGCGCGTGTATGATGACTACACTGAAGCGAACATATTTACAACACATCAACTACATCATAAAAGCTCTGAGAACGACTAAATAAAATTCAACTTCTTTAAAAAAAAAAAAAAAACCCCGCTGGAGATCTAAATGACAGCGACAGCTAGTAGCAGAGACCAAATGAGTGCGTCTCTGAATGATTTGATGCGCTGTCTGCCATCACACGGATTCTGTCTGGATGAGACCCCCGCATCAGTCTTCTCTCGTGGGGATGTGGGGGTTCGTTCTGACCAGTTCAGTGGAGGTAAGACAATATCAGGATGCTTACAAAAACAAAAGGCTATAACCATACGTTTTTGCGTCAAACAAAAATGCCCGTTTTGTCCTGTGCTTGATTGCTTATTTTGATTGCTTGTTTATAAGTTGGTTTCAAACACCAAGTTTCAAACTTTAGTGAATTGGAATATTTTCTGAGCTCCCATCCTCATATGGAATAGTTGTTGGGTAAACAAATGAACATTATAATGCCTATGCAAGGCGAGAGCCTAAACTGCCGTCATCTCATACACTGTAAAAAATGACCGTGAATTTAACAGTAAAAGACTGTAAAAATGCTACAGCAAAAACCTGTTAAATGGTTAACGGTAAATTCCGCTACTATATACGGTGAAAAACTGTATTGGACATTACATGTATTGGACATAAATTTTACAGTAGTATACCGTTTTTGGAAGTGAAAAATACCGTATAATTTACAGTGAATAACCGTAAATTGACATTCCCCGAATTCCCTGCGTTACATTTCAAATTTGATGTTGTTTTGTTGAAATAACTATGTTCCTTCTTAGTTTTTTCTTCTCAGTTTTGTATATTAGGGTTGTGTGTTACACCTAATGTTGTTAAATTAATGTTTACTGCATTATTTCAGTTTCATGTGTGTTACCATGATGGTGTTTAGTGTTTGTGTGAATCACACGGCGCACCTTCTATATATGCTATTATTTAAAAGCTGCTTGTGATGGGCTTTGGTTCATCATGTGACTTTCTCATCACCACTTGCATTTGGTGGTTATCAGTGTATTACAAAGGTAGGAAACAGATTTCAGTACTTCAGTAGGTTGGTATATTAACATTATATCAGTTAATGAAATTACGGTATTTAACTGTAAATTTAAGTTAAAACCGTAAAACTTAAAACGTTGCTACTGTATTTTTTTACGGTAAAATTCTGGTAACCACAGCTGCCGTTTTTTTACCGTAAATTGTACGGAATTTTTTTTACAGTGTAGGCTATGCTTTTTGTACATTTTCACAATTTATTAATTTCTTCCACGTATACTTTTGACTTTTTCGTTGTTTTTATTCATTGCACGAGTTCATGTTTTATTGTGTAGGCTATGTATTGCGGTAAAAAGCCTAGCCTGTGAGAATCCGTCTTATATCGGGGCACGTTCTCACAAACTGAACGTGTCTTCAGTTAACTGTTTTTTTTTTTCAACAGTAAAATATCTAATAGCTACTTATACAAAGGATAAGGAAATATTCAATATTTGTGTAGCCAAAACTGACTTTAAAAGCAAACTCACGTTGGAGCAAAAAGGTTTTCATTAGGCTATAATCTTAATATACAACTCTGAATGCCAAAGTCTGTCTGAGGAAAAACAAATTTCTTATGCAAAATTCACATCACATTCTTTATTTCTTATGCAAAATTCACATCACATTCTTCCTTTCATATTGTCTCATTCATTTTCATTAATTAGTTAACTCGTCATCCTGGCTAAGTGCTTCATTGTCATAATTACCAGGAGTGTTCAAATAAGTATCCAGTGTTACATATGCCAATTTGTCAAGCGAGTGTTGTCAAGCCTCTTGCTAAACATTTGTGTTCTGATCGCTTAATGCATTATTAACACAATATAGCAGTGGAAACAAGATGAGCAGATTCCTGCTCTGATAGGCTTTGAAGCCTTTGTTAAACCAAATCTCACATTTGCTGCAAATATTTAAATATTGATCAAATGCTATACAAAGTGAATCCAGGCAACAGAGAAAGAACAGAGACTAGTTCTTTTGTCGAACCTGCACACTAAATCAGAACACAGTTTGCATGCAACACACTGGAAATGTATGGACGCACGTAGCCAAAAGACAATTAAAGTTAAAGACAGCAGCTGTGATAAGTGCCTAGGTATTTCAAATAAACCACTGTCCTCTTGATAAGGTAGCCAGTCTGTCGTGTAAAGAAAAGAACACCGTGATTTGATGGAAACACAGGCAATAAGAGGGTATTGCTCTAAAGAAACGTCTTGTTTTTACTCCTACAGGTAGCTTGAGCACCGATAGCTTCGGTGTGGAAAAACGGGACCTTGAACTGACAGACCCGAGCAAGTTTTCTCCACACAGCGCGACTGTCGCCTACACAGGGAAGATTTCCATCGACGCGCATGGAAGCTGGAATCAGGAGGGAATAATCAACTTTGTCAGCGCAGGAGTGCAAGATAGGCCACCTTCCCCGGGATCATTCTCCACGGGCTCCCCGTCACACCCAGACTGCTCCAAAATAGCTCAAACCCTTGCCAACATGGAGCATATGTACACAGGCCCGCCCCCTTACACCTGTAGTGCCGATGGTTACCAGGACCCCTCGGCTTACCTATCGACCACCACGTGCCCCATAACTTACGCAACTCCATCCTACTCAACCCCAAAGCCATCTATAGACGGGACGCTTTTCTCCATCATTCCAGACTATGGGGGGTTTTATCAGGCCAGCAACAGCCAAAGGGACAACATGGCTGTGTTTCAGGACATCAAGCCATTTTCGTGCGCTTTGGAGTCTATCAGAGTCCCCCCACCTCTGACTCCCTTGAACACCATTAGAAATTTTACGCTGGCGTGTCCGGTTGACGGGCCGAGGCCGCCTGTGGATTGCACCAATCCGCAAAGCGTCCCACTCAGGCCGATTCTGCGGCCACGGAAATACCCGAACCGACCGTGCAAGACGCCAGTCCACGAGCGGCCATACCCCTGTCCGGCGGAGGGATGCGACCGGAGGTTTTCACGCTCGGATGAGCTGACGCGCCACGTGCGCATCCACACCGGCCACAGGCCGTTCCAGTGCCGCATCTGCATGCGCAGCTTCAGTCGCAGCGACCACCTTACGACGCACATACGCACTCACACCGGAGAGAAGCCCTTCTCCTGTGACTTCTGCGGCAGAAAGTTCGCCAGGAGCGACGAGCGAAGGAGGCACACAAAAATCCACCAGAGACAGAAAGATAGAAAGGGGTCCGCACCTCCTCACAGCTCGAGCGCCGGCGGTACAGCGATGTGAGCTACAGTTAACAAGCTCTGGCTGCTGGGATAGCTAGTCGTTGTCCCATTTAAACCTGGAACTTGTGTGTGTGTGTGTGTGTGTGCGTGCGCACAAATATACGAAGGCAGCTTATGATTTAAGTGTTGAATGTGGTCTTTTGTAGTATCTAGACAACGTCCTTATCAGAGAATATTTCATGTGGTGCAAATTGCAGTTGTTATAAATATAGTGTTTACAGTGGGTCTTTTTTATTGACATTATTACTGTTATGTGTCTGAATAAAATGATAATAAACACAAGGTGTAATCTTTTGAGAATCAGTGGAATGCTGTATGGCATTACGAAGTTATAACCCTAGAGGTCGCACATTGGTCAACTAAGGGCAGGTTGCAAGGAAAACGTTCATTGTAATGCGATTATTTTTGAAAGAAATTGAGTTTTATTCAGCAAGGACGCATTACATTGGCAGTAAAGACATTCGTAATGTTACAAAATATTTCTATTTCAAATGCTGTTCTTTTGAACTTATATATTCAGTTCAAGCATTATAGTCAGCAAAACTATTTGAATATTATGCAGCACAACTGTTTTCAGCATTGATAATTATAAGAGGTGTGTATTGAGCACCAAATCAGCATATTAGAATGATTTATGAAGGATCACGTGACCCTGAAGAATGGGTACAATTGAGCTTTGCTATCACAGGAATAAATTACATTTTAAAATATGTTATAACAGAAAACTATTTCTTGAAATTCGAATATTTCACAGTATTACTGTTTTTACTGTATTTTTTGACAAAAGGAGCCTTGGTGAGCATAATAGACCTTTGTACTGTAGTGCATGTTGGCTGTAAAGAATGTCAAATGTATTTAAATAATCAACAAGGCCAGTTTCTATTGCATTATATATTAGCCAAAGTCTGTCTGAGGAAAAACAAATTTCTTATGCAAAATTCACATCACATTCTTCCTTTCATATTGTCTCATTCATTTTCATTAATTAGTTAACTCGTCATCCTGGCTAAGTGCTTCATTGTCATAATTACCAGGAGTGTTCAAATAAGTATCCAGTGTTGCATATGCCAATTTGTCAAGCGAGTGTTGTCAAGCCTCTTGCTAAACATTTCAGTGTTCTGATCGCTTAATGCATTATTAACACAATATAGCAGTGGAAACAAGATGAGCAGATTCCTGCTCTGATAGGCTTTGAAGCCTTTGTTACACCAAATCTCACATCTGCTGCAAATATTTAAATATTGATCAAATGCTATACAAAGTGAATCCAGGCAACAGAGAAAGAACAGAGACTAGTTCTTTTGTCGAACCTGCACACTAAATCAGAACACAGTTTGCATGCAACACACTGGAAATGTATGGACGCACGTAGCCAAAAGACAATTCAAGTTAAAGACAGCAGCTGTGATAAGTGCCTAGGTATTTCAAATAAACCACTGTCCTCTTGATAAGGTAGCCAGTCTGTCGTGTAAAGAAAAGAACACAGAATCTATTGATTAAGGCTGAACCCAGTTTATAGTCAGATCCATCAGAGGGACACTTTAGGGTGAAACTGGGAAAAAGAGGTCATGGATGATTGGTGACCACAAAAAATGTATTTGGACATATAAAATTGTAAATATCATCGCATTAAACATAAAATACAGTGGGGAAAAAAAGTATTTAGTCAGCCACCAATTGTGCAAGTTCTCCCACTTAAAAAGATGAGAGAGGCCTGTAATTTTAACCAGGTTGCATTTATTTTTATTAGAGCACAAGCACACAGATTTCACAAAATACATTTAGGTTGCGAATATTAACTGTACAGAAATACCAAAAGGAATACAGTTCAAACTCAAAACAAATAAGTATTTAGACACTTTTTTGGCCATTAAACGTGAACGTACATATTAACCAGCTTGTCATGTTCACTAAATTTGCACGATTTTGGGTACAATTTACCGTCTTCCATGACAAAGTCGCAAAATCGCAAAAGATTGTTGTTATGTTCTGCGACTTTGGCAACAAGGTGATATACTGTATGTGCATGAGAGAGAGAGAGAGAGAGAGGTAGCGTTCAGTTAAAAATTGTTTATGTTAGCCTGTCCTGTATCAGTTGCAAGGTAAAACAACCTGTTAATTAGCATTCCCTTCAAGATATGGTTATTTGTATCCTAAAATTACATCCAGTTCGCTCTGAAGAATGAGCAGTACACAAATTCCCTCTTTCACCCACTTTAATACACTAAACGACGCTGTATCTTTTTCTTTCTGTCTCAGACATTAGAGCACGGAAAAATAAATTGGAAAGGTATGACATATAGCAGCCCAGCAGCCATATCACCCTGCAGCCCAAGACGGGTCGCCCACTGAAGCTAAGCAGGGTCGAGCTGGTCAGTACCTGGATGGGAGACCTGGGAAAACTAGGTTGCTGCTGGAAGAGGTGTTAGTGAGGCCAGCAGGGGGTGCTTACCCTGTGGTCTGTGTGGGTCCTAACGCCCCAGTATAGTGATGGGGACACTATACTGACAAAAAGCACTGTCTTTCGGCTGAGACGTTAAACCGAGGTCCTGACTCTCTGTGGTCATTAAAAATCCCAGGATGTCTTTCATAAAAGAGTAGGGGTGTAACCCCGGCATCCAGGCCAAATTCGCCCATTGGCCTCTGACCATCATGGCCTCCTAACCATCCCCATATCTGCTGATTGGCTTCATCACTCTGTCTCCTCTCCACCAATAAGCTGGTGTGTGGTGGGCGTTCTGGCGCAATATGGCTGCCGTCGCATCATCCAGGTGGATGCTGCACACTGGTGGTGGTTGAGGAGATTCCCCCCTTGGGGAATGTAAAGCACTTTGAGTGCCTAGAAAAGCGTTATATAAATGTAAGGAATTATTATTTTTTTTATATATAAAACAATGGACTGGACTCCAGTGTTGTTTGGTTTCCAGCATTCTTCAAAATATTTGAATTATTTTATTTTCCACAGAAGAAAGAAAGTCTTAAAACTTTGAAACAACATGAGGGTGAGTAAATGATGACAGAACTAAAGAAATACCCTATAAAAAACACATTTTCTGGGGCTACAGTATATTGCAATTATAAACTCTCTCCCTGCTGGGAAAAAAAAACAATAGAAACCATGGCAGAAGTTTCCACATTACAAACCAACAACTTTTAACCATTAAAACCATTAAAAATGGTTTTCTGTAGTGTGTTTTGGGACATATTGCATTAGGATTTATTGGTTTTAACAAGGCAACCAATTATCAGAAATCCACAGAGACCATCACAGTTTCCATTAAAACCAATACAAGTCCCATTATAACCAGTAAAACCATTACAAAGTCTGTGATTGTGTCTATTGGTTTTTTTCCAGCAGGGCTGAGAAAGGGAGACCTACTGTATTCGCATATACATTTAAAAAATATGCCACTTAAGTCTATTATGCAGAAATATTCCTGAACCGCTTACAAACACTGTCACTACAGTCAGTGCCGGCCCTACCTAATAAGCGATACTGTTTATGCGGCTGCATAGGGCCCCCGTGCCCACCAGGGGCCCCGTGTCAGGAGTTCAGACAGCAATCACGGGAGTAAGGCGAGATGATGGTGGAGATGGCAACAGCAGAGCTGAGCTGGAGCGTTCTCTGAAGCTGAACTTCCATAGGAATGAATTAAAACCGTTAAGTGTCTGACAAATCTTGTAGAATGCGATGCGCGCTCAGCACCTCCAGTCCCGATCGCGAAATTGAAAGTGAAACTAAAAAGGATGCCTGCGCGCATTCAAACGCAACTTCAATACCAGCAGTTTGAGAGCGGCTGCGGCTCCCTGATGCATGCAAATTAGGCTGCATACAACATCTAGGCTGTAATTAGTATGCACACTATAATAGGATGTGTAGTATAACCATCTCTTAGCTCTGTATCATGCTTGAAGAAAATTTTGGTTTCTGTTTGCGCTTTGATTTGAATATTGAGCGAGTAGCCTACTTTGATTATGGTTGCACTTAATAAGACTAAGAAAGAACTGTTCTTTTTTTTCTATGATCAATTTGTGGAAAAAAGTTCAGATAGGAGGTCAAACATTCTAAAAACTCATAGCCTGCAAGTACTATTCTATAGGTCTGAAGAGACTCATGAAATCATACAGAGGAGAAGTCAGTCAGTTGAGTTTGTGGCAAAATCTTTTACAGTGCTTGAGTATTCTCTGTTATTGCACATAATAATTCATACTCAGAAAGCAGAACTGAGATGGCATTTATTGCAAGATTAGTTCAAAACATTTCAATGCACCTGCAGACTATTTTTCCAGGCATGTTTTTCATCATTGACGATTTCTTAAAATAGTGTAAAAATCTTGTCTAGTCTCATTCTTGTGAACCCTATCTCGTGTCTCGTCTCGTCTCAGATTTTTGCCTTCACTTTAATGTTGCTTAAATCTGTTTCAACATGTGTTTACACTTATATTTGATTAATTTTGCATTTTAATCTGGACTGTCATGCCAGCCCAGAAATAATTAATATTGTCATCATTTAAAATGTCTTTGTCTTACATGGACCCATTATTATAAAAACGGCTTTGTTATTAGATTTTTTACATTTTTGAACTAAATCTCAAAATTGTCCCATGGTGTGACTGTCTCAAGGATGTTCAATAAATTACAACTTTTATAAATTAAAAAGAAAAGCATACAATTGTTAATAAATAAATCAGGCATAATTTTACAAGTGTCTATTTTAGTAATTGGCAATCATTTTTTCATCCATATATTTCTAAAAGCATATGAACTTGATACATTATATCACTGAAAACTATGTCCTCTGGTGTGACATATCCTGTTTTTAAACTCCACGGACAACTTTAATTAGTTGAAGGACCGGGAATAGTGTTTTACAAAAAAAAAAAATTTTTTACTGGATATTTGTCAACTACCCAAATATATTTTCCTATCTATTTCTTGAAAGATAAATATATTGAGTAAAACAAATTGGTAAATCTTTACAATTAGGTGTCAGTGCAAGATGTGTACATTGGGATGGGATGCGGGTGGTTAGGTGAAACTGTAGGTATGGGGGCCCCTTTTGAAAATCTGCTTAGGGCCCCCAAAACGCTAGGGCCGGCCCTGACTACAGTCTATGGAAATGTGACAGCAGAAGGTGAGCTGGGGTTTTTTTTCCAATCCATATTGGCACAATTTAATAATTTGTTACATAATTAAGTATTACATGAATCACA